CATAGCTCCCTCTCTGGGCCCCTTGCCTACCTCTTCCGTAAGTCACTGGACACTGGTTGCGAATTGCGATCGTGACGATTGGAAACTGGCACGTGTGGTTCCTATCTACAAAAAGGGAAGCAAGGTGGAACCATGCAATTACCGCCCAGTGAGCCTCACAGCTATACCGTGTAAAGTGCTCGAATCTCTTATTCGAGACGAATTGCTGAAATTCCTCACTGAAAATGAGGTCATGACCACCCACCAGCACGGCTTTCGACCTGGAAGGTCGTGCAATACTCAACCTTTCGAAGTCCTGGATGACTGGAGCAAGGATATCGAACAGGCGAACCCAATAGATGTTATTTATCTCGACTTCCAGAAAGCATTCGATTCTGTACCCCACCAGAGACTTTTGAGCAAGCTCCGCAGCTATGGGGTATCAGGTAAGCTCCTGGCATGGATTGAGGCCTTTCTAACCGGAAGGAAACAACAAGTGATCATCGACGGGCGCCCCTCGAACTGGACGGAGGTCGCTAGCGGCGTACCCCAGGGATCTGTGCTCGGATCTTTACTCTTCTTAATCATGTGAACGACCTGCCAGACGAAATTCACTGCAAAGTGAAGTTGTTCGCAGATGACACAAAATTGTACTCCTGCGCCCATTCCATAAACAACGCGACTCTCATGCAAAATGATCTGAATGCTCTCTTAAAGTGGTCAAATTTGTGGATGATGCCTTTCAACAAGGACAAGTGTACCGTACTGCACATAGGAAGCACGAATTGCGGATTCTCATACACTCTGGGCGATTTTCCCCTAGCCAGTGCAAGAGTGGAGAAAGACCTTGGTGTCCACGTGGACGACGCTCTTAAGTTTCGTGAACACGCAGCGTCAGCAGTGGCGAAGGCTACGCAGCTCCTCGCCGTAATCAAGAAGTCGTTTTCCCTCATCAACGAAGTCACGCTGCCCATTCTTTTCAAAACCCTGGTTCGCCCACACTTAGAATACGGGAACCTTGTATGGGGTCCATTTAACAGAGCGAATCAGCGACAGGTCGAAAGAGTTCAGCGCAGGGCAACCCGGCTGGTAGAGAGCATCCGCCACAAACCCTACACGGAGCGACTCAAAGAACTGAAGATGCCATCACTGCATTATAGACGACTGAGAGGTGATATGATCTTCACATACCAACTATTTCACAGAGGGGTCGATGCCGACCGACCCCAGGTCATTCTTCGCTCTGGCTGCAGGAGTTACTCGGGGACATCAGTTTAAAATCCAGAAGTTTCCAGCAGCCTCGAGGGTGAGGCCTTTGCCGCCCGAGTCGTGAACGACTGGAATGGACTCCCCTCCGAGGTGGTTGGTGCACCCTCGCTGAACTGCTTCAAGGCAAGACTGGACGCACACTGGTCCCACATCATATACTCCGTACCTGATCCTGATTGATCTCGTAAAGCCACAATCCCAGGAGCTCGATAAGATCGGGTACCACAGGCCATTATGGCTAAAAATCCCGAAACCTTAAAGTAAAACCACAATGCTTGAGGGTGTTTTCGGTTAAAAGAATAGCATTTCAATTATCTCCTACTGCGTGCCATGGTTTTTGTTACACATAAGAAGAAAACAACTGAGATTTGTGGCCAAAAACATCCCCCTTCCCTGCCGGCTCGAATTAATGTACCTATTGCATACACATTAAACAATATAAAGCCCTCTTGTCATTGCGTGGCAAGTATTCTTTTTTCTACAAAATCGAGAATAACTCGAAGACTGTCATGGGTCACCACCTACATTTTTCTGTTTTCACCCAGTTTTGAAAGTTCGTTCAGGTACACTGCAGCACCATAAGCTGTAATTTTGATTTATGTAAATTTGATTGCGGTTTTATTCACCTGCAATAAAAGACTAGCAGGTGTGGCCAACAACGCCCAAGGTTGAAGGTAAAAAACGTCCGACAAGATTTTTGGCCCACTTTTGAATGTCACTCTATGTAGCTTACCGCTTAACTAATTAAAACAAGGATTGCAGAGCTCTATTCATACATTTCAGCATCCTCTTCAACAAATCAACAATATTCAGTATATCAGTATATATACTGAATATCAGTATATTCAATATATCAGTCGGGCACACTGTAGTATTTCCGATCCACTTATGGAAATGCTTCCATTTTTGGAACAATGTTCCAAAAATGGATACGCCGTTTCCAAAAATAGAAACGGTCTGTTCCATTAATGGAGACGCTGCGTGCATCGCTACCTTGAAAGCAAACTGGGCATTGATTGCTGCAATTTGGCATGCGCAGGATGCCACCAATCGACAGCCAGCATTCTAGTTTATATTCCTCTTCTCCGAATTTCCGATCAGAAACCGAAAGTCGACAAACGAGGCGATGCTTATAACATGTTGACGTGATAAAAAAATCACAAGTTTTCTAATCAAATAAGGTCTGCACCGTCGTCACACCAAATACCGTCGTATTCTGACGATGAATTTATTCATTCTAGCTCATGTGTAACATTGATATCAATTTTATATATTGAAATGATATCTACACTTTATGTACTGCCCACTTTGGACCACATTTGTCCAGTAGTTTCTAGGAAATCTTAGTTTTAGTTGACTTTTGAATGTGCTAAGTTGCGGCGCGTAATATATTAGTATCAAACCCGACGTCCAAGGTAACTGCCGAGAGCCGAGATGCTAAACCAGTCCCAAAACATCAATTTTTAGTTGCATGTGAATTTTAAAAAACACATTTAAAGGGACTATCCCACCTTTAACATGGGGTTTGAGTTGAGATAGCCAAGTTTGCGGCGAGGTTCAGAAACCACTATCTATCTAGGTTGCAACCCCCGCGGCCTCTTGGTGTTGAAGAAATTTGTTCCCTTCATTTGAAAATGGGCCTTGTGCCAGGCCCTATCTTCAACATGGAGCGACCGTTAGTGTGACGTCACCTCGTTTAGTCATTCTGATTTAAATGGGTTTGTTAGTTAAAAAATCACTTAAAACTTGGTCTGAACTTTGTTGTAGTGCCTACAGAGTAAAAAGAATCAGCTTTATGACAGTAATGTGACCTGGGGAAGGAGGTAATTTTGGGCTGTGACGTCACATATCATCAAATCTATAAAGTCGACCACAATTTAACTGGTTTTAACAATATTTTAGAAGGTGGGATAGTTCCTTTAAGCTAAATTTGCACACATTTGAACTTCAGCGTTTCTATTTTTGGAACGTCAGCGTTCCCATTTTTGGAAACTAAGTCTCCATAAATGGATACGATTCAGGAGCATTTTTAGGTGGTGACTTTGAATGCATACGACAGCTTTCCATGCAAGAAGACAAGTGCTTTTGGTGTATCCGTGCTTGTTTTACGCAAAACAGTGGTTATACCTACATCAAATCCAGCCACCCTTGGCAAGAAAATTTGTGCGGAAATGTTAGCGTTTCTATTTATGGAGCAAGCGTTTTCATTTTTGGAACAGAAGAGTAGTCAAAATTGGAAACGTTTCCAATAAAAGAAATGTCTCCATAAATGAATCGGAGATACCACAGTGCGCCGGACTGTTATCAGCATTAATTGAGCTATTAGGGGTGGCATATGTCGATATCACATAAGACACCAAAATGCAAATGACTCTGCAAGGAAGTATCCATAGCTCCATAGCAACCACCTAGCAACGTGAACCAAAGCTGTAAACAACTCGCGTTTGTCTCAGATGCGCATTTTTCGGAGCATATAACCAGAATCTGTTATCCTCGGAGTCATTTGTTGCAAAACAGAGTGACCATTTGACTATCAATAAGGACGATTTTTGCGAAATTCATGTTTCTTGCCTAACTACCTTTCGAAAAAGTTAACAGACGCTAAACAAGTTAGTCGAGCCGACGAAGATGGTCGAGCGTGGCAGTGCAGCGTCAAACTCACCGTGTCTGTTCTTTCCCGAGTCTTCAAGTCTCTTCTAGCAAACCATTAGACAGCAACAATTTATGACGAATTTTTCGAAATAATATCTGATCACTTCTATCACAACTGACACCTCAATCAACAGCCGGATCCGTCAAGGGTCCCGACGTCCCGACAAGATTCCTATAGATTCCTACGATTCCTAAAGATAAGGTTGGGCCAGGCAGTCACGTGACAGTTTCTGCTTGGTGTTTGAGTTGTGCCCAAGGCTATAGAACTCCGTTGTGCCATCGTGGTTTATTGATATCTTTAAACAATTTTTAGACAAAATGTAGCTGAATATGTTAACATATATTTTTTTTAAAAAATTGATTTTATTTAATAAACAGAAATAAGCAAAAAACAAAAGTTTTGGCCTAAGCGTAAAACTCTTATTTATGTAATACTCTTGACATTGCTTTGCATTGAAGATTCAGGCTAGAAAATTTTTCATACCCATTATAGGTATAATACAATTTATACAATACTCATTTCTATGCTAAGATTGCTCTAGCGTATGCGGCAAATAAAATGGGCATAGGTATGAATACGCATAAAAAAATTAGTTAACATAGACTTGGGTATAACCACGGATCACATACTGCCCGGGCCTATAAGGTGTCACATAAGGTGATCCGTGGTATAACTAATGGTCAGAAGAGGGCAAGCAGCGCGCTTGGGATGAGGCGTTCTCTAAGACGTCTCAGCAGCGTCTGCTGGATGGGGCAAACCAGGTGGTCCGGGTGCGTCTTCTTGCTGCCGCAGAGCCCCACACCGCCGCCTGGGTGCAAGCCCTCCCAGTCACCAGTCTGGGACTCCACCTGGAGGACGAAACCGTCCGGGTAGCCCCGGCCGCTACTCAGGTCCACCACTCGCCGTTGTCAATGCACGGTTTTTCTAGCAAGCTCCAGCCTAGTATTGATCTTATTCAGTATTTACGGTACGAAGATTTGATAACGGAATGTGACGTTTCCACATCATGCTTGATGGTTGAAGTTTGCAACGTTAACAACTACCAAGTCAAGTCGCAGCCCCAGTCATCTGGCACGTCTCTGTCATCGAATAAAGCCAATGAACAAGAAAGTTATTATTTTCCAGCATAAATGAAAATATATAACACTGCTACAGGCGGTACGCGGATGTCATGCACATTACACACAACGATTCAATCGAATAAAAACTGGATTAACCATAAATCAGCACTGGATTAACCATAAATAATAACAGTACAGCACCAAACACTTGAGATGCACATTATAGTACTTTAGAATTTAGATGCACAGAGGAGTAATGAGACTAAAAGTTTATGCACGCCCTATCTTAAAAAATATTGAACGAGATATTTCCACAGTGCAAAAACAAAACCGAAATCCGACAAAAACCGATTCCAGGTTCAATGTCCACAGATTTAAAAACAAAACTTTCAAGTGCCCCCATGGTAAAAAAAAAAAATGACCAAAGACGGAATTGTAACAAAGAATAAATAAAGATATGTGCGGCAAACGAAGAGCGGCACTGGACGAGCGTCTGCCCAAAGTAGGCGCCCAGAGTTACTCCTTAGCCCAGCGGGCAGCAGCAAATGAATTACAGCCAAAGGAAGAATATGCATTAGTCTATTAAGGCTCATCGCACCATGACGAGGCACAGCTCGGATAACGCGATTCGCCTGCGTCCTCCAGGCGAGAAGCACCTCGAGTAGGCTGCCGTGTCTTGACCAACTGCCGCATCCGTCGTCCGCGCCGCAGGCCTCCCAGCGGCCATGTTCCAACGGAGCCGTGAGCTTCACCGTCTCCCGCTCCGCCTCTACAAGGTGGATGGAGGCCTGGCCGGACGGGTGGCACAAGGACATCTGGAGCTCCTGCTGCCGGCCCCGGTGGAAGGAGTAGATCGCCGCTCCGCGGTCGACATCCACCAGCTCCGAGCCGGCCACCAGTCCAGCTCGGAGTAGTGCCTCCATCGCATCGGCCGTCGACCGGCGTGGGGCCCGGATGTGACTAGTGCAGCTCCGTGGGGTGCCCTGCCGCGCTCTGCCGAGTGTGCAGAGAGCAGGTAGACTGGTGGCGGTGAAGAAAACAAGCTGTTATCTTCTTTCGGGATCTGTAAAGAAGCATTCCACTAAAAAATACATCCGAAACGTTTTCCATATTTTTTTACAGAACACAATGCAGTAGCCAAAATAGATATGAAGTATGTGAAGACAACAGTCTACTGCCATTAGATAACTGATCCTGATGGACAAATACTTTAGATACTAGTATATCATAAGGTGGTTCAAAGGCACACTTTGCAGCTCCAGTAAAAAATCACTGTTATTCATACTTCATACTGTAAGGGGAAAGGGTGGGGTGGGGATGCAGCCAAGAGTGCATCATATAGGGTTGTAGTGGTCGGACCATCTGGAGCAATAGCCTGTTTTTGCCGTTTTTAATGTTAACCCTATGGCGCACATGAGCACGCGCCACGGGCGCACCCCCGGCCGAATCGTGCCCAAAATCTAATACGACCTGTTGAATTACGTGACCCACGAGTCGTGAGAATTTCACCCTCGTGCGTCAATCGACGGCGCCGCAATATCCGTTTTTGGGCGTCACGCCGCCGCAGCCTGTTTTTGCCGATTCTAATGCTAACCCTATGGCGCACATGAGCACGCGCCACGAGCGCACCCCCGGCCGCATCGTGCCCAAAATTTAATACGACCTGTTGAATGACGCGACCCACGAGCCGTGAAAATTTCACCCTCGTGCGTCAATCGACGGCGCCGCATAAAGCCTTTTTAAGCGTAACCCCGACGGCGGCGGACTTTTTAAGATTTATAGATGAATAGTAGACCACTACAACCGCTGGGTCGTGTCCCAGCGGTTGATGGTCCCACCAGATGGTCCGCGGAGGGGAGACCCATACCAGAACGTAGATTGTGAAACAATGTAAGTATCTGCCAATATTACCTTTTCCAGAAGAGTTGAAAAACAGCAATGGGTCAGCTCTTGTGAGAAGCACCATGCAGTGTTGGCTGCACTTCAATCTTGTCTCCTGTAAAAAAAAAAAAACAGTATCACTGTATGATTGACAGTTTGATTGCATTTCCTTCAAGCTGCAACATCTCTATTTTAGACATTTTCAGTTCCCACTTGCGCACGGCACCCTACTAACCGGTCTCTAGCGATGTGCCAAATCTGAGCACAATCGGCCCGGCCGTTCTCGACATCTGGAAGCGTCACCCTGCACATGTGCACGTGCAGTTGCACCCCAACCGTGACACATTTAAACACATTGCCCGGTGGGTGCCTACATCCTTTTTATAATGTAGTTATTGTCATTACAATCAAGTTGTACCGTGCTATTGTCATTACAACAAAAATGACACCTCTCTGTTTTACACGTGTCACGTGCAGTGGAGGTCACCCGCATGCATTGTCAATAGTAAATACCTGTAAGAAGGGTATACGCTACCCCACACAAAAAACCGCAAGTGTAACAGTGTCCATCCCCTCCCCGGCGCCGTCTTCTTCCAGGGGAGGCGCCCCGGCCGCCGCACTGGGGCGTAGCGGAGTCCGTGCTTTTAGCACAGCAAAATATCCACCCAGGCTAGATTAAGGTCACGACAACCTAGGATTAAGAGTGGCTACAGACTCCAGGCTTTATGCAGACTTAACATTGAAGTATTATATATGCAACTAAATGACACACATGGTGTTTGTTCTAACCTTCTCAACAGAAAGTGAACGTGTCAGGACAGCACCCCTTGGTGACCATTATATTCAAGGAGTGTAGGAACTGATTCCCCAGGGGTGAAGCGATAGAAGCAAAAACATGAGTCACTAGTTCCCTCCTGTGTCTTCCCTCCTGCAGGAAAAAAAAATACATGTGTGATGCCCAATGTGACTGATAACTGCATATTATAAAGCTGGAAATATTGTAAAAAGTTGTGACAACACAAGCAAACTATGCATGTCACTGCTCTTGTATAACTTTTCTATTTTTATTGCTATATGAGACCTCACAAGACACAAAAATATGCATGGTTAGAAAGGGGGTAACAATACATTTCAAATGAACTAAGCAGATTATTTCTAAGCTCATTTAAGTCCCAATTTCTGCTATATTTCGCTTGGAGTCACTTCATAGTTTGAACTCAAGGTGCCTTGTGGATTTACCTCAGGTATGTAGGTAAATCCACAAGGATTTATGGGCTTTACCTCAGTTATGTAGCTGCTCCCTCAATTTAAGTTTCTCGTTAAATTTCATTGAGGCGTTGCAAGATGGGCTGTAGCCAAATATGCTTCCCTGTTTAGCTGATGCTCATAATACCTGAACATTTCTAATTCCAATTTTTATAGCTGTTAACAATTGCTAAAGGCCCATGTACCTAGACAATAATGACTTTACAGAGGAAACCCCTGGCTGTGTTTCATGGGCACGCTGCCAGCAGCTGCCAGCGCATTCCGTGGAGCTAGCATCAACCTCTGGTAGTGTTGGAGGTATAGGCTTGTTGATGTCTATGGAAGCCAAAAGTGGCTGACAGAGTGCCGCGTTAAACCACCCTTATTTTTTGCACAATAATGGTGTGATAACTGTTCCTGCAAAAAAAATAAGGTGAAGTGAACTAAAATCAGGTCAAACATTTATATGTACCCAAAAGTAGCAGTGTATGGAGTACCTATATTCACATTACCAATAATATGATGCACAACAGGCCATAGAAAACCAGTGCAGTTGGGGAAACTACGAGGTGAACGTCAAAAAATGGATTGGTCAATAAATGGACTTTTGATGACCATATATGGGCATAAATGCAGCCCCCGCTACTAAGAGTGAAAAACGGTATGACAAGCCGGTACTTGCGGTATCGCGTCCACTTATTGGAGAGAAAAGGCTTCCATTTTTCACTAGCAATTGGTGTGATTTGATAAAATTTGGCGAATTGACTCGAAAATGGCGATAGGAAAACGGCTTTTCTGCAGGTTCTGGGCGTCGCAATCAGCTGGCCATTCAATAAATGGATTGGTTTTATAAAAGAAAATTGTTCAAAGATTTAATTTAATTACAATAAACAAAAATATTTAATTCTATAATAATAACTTAACTACAATTTAAAAAACCATAAACAAAATAATAAAAATAATGACATTTTTAAACCACGGTACTGCTTACATTTTTTGGCGCGTCCGTTTCAATCCGCCATATTTGCCAATCACGGACCAATCACGGTTTGACCTTGCGTTGTAACTCTGCGATTTAGAGCCGCCAGTTAATTATGCACCGGGTGAGTGTAGGCCTTGCGTGGTTAAAAAACATTCTTATGCCTTATCTTTTCATTTGAATGCTAAAGCCCCGCCCACTCCAGCCGCTGATTGGCTAATCCAATTTTTGTTTGGCTCCTCGTAGTTTCCCCAACTGAGTGAATGTTGAATTGTACCCCAATTTCAATATCAATATGGCACTTGGCAATAACAGTGAAACACACCGTTTTTTATGTTAAATCAACAGAGAAAACTCCTGAACGTAAAAAATGATCAGAATGTATAATAAGGATAAAAGTATAAATAAAAATCGACATCAGCGCCTATCATCGCCCCTGCACATTCACCACTCCCCATTCCACACGCACAGATTGTTTACCCCTTGGTTTACCCCGTGTTCGCAGTCTCCCTGACGACGGAGATTCTATACGCCCACCGACCAATCACGTTGAAGATCAGCGGGGCTTGGCCGCAGTTCTCGAACGCCATTGGCCAGATTAAGCAGGACCTTCGTCGTCAGTAAACTGTGAACACGGTGTTACATAATTCGCTATGGTAACAAAAGCGCCAGAATTGACTACGAGAATTGGATCCGAAGGTCAAATGGGTCACGTGACTGACAAGTTCAGATGGACAACACCTGGAAAACGGCACAACGTGCAATAACGTTCTATATATCATTGGAAAGAGCATCAAAAGTTGTATAACCTATCAACTTTTCACTTAAATATATCTATAACGTAAAAAGTTATAAAGCAGCAAAGACGCTCCCATTGACTTTGCATGTTAAAAAAATTATTCTTTAAACGAGCTCAAGAAGAACAAACGAATTCTGACAGCTTAACGAAGCATAACAACATATTCTATGGTCTTTTCTCAACAAGTCCTGAAAGTTTAAACAAAATCGTATCATATAATTTTGTACAATGAGCGAATGAAAATGCCTCTGCAAAAACGCCCATTGATTTAACATGGGGAGCGAAAAAAGTTCAACTTTGACCTCGTGCAAAGACACGTTACGAAGTTCTGAGGGGTATACGGCGCACACTAGCGTGTACCCAAACGTGTTTGCCATAAAATGCTGGGAAGAAAACCACCTCTTCCTTGGCTCGTTTTCCCCGCTATTCGCGATTGCGCAAAAAGTGTCCCAAACCCCCATTGACTTACTATGGGAAAAATGGAATCGCACGTGCCACGTGCCACGAGGTTTTAAGCGAGTAGCGACCGGTGCCATCAGGTAGATCGCCCCCGAGAGCCCATACACTGAACTTTTTACGAAAATCGCAATGCACGTTTAGGCCCCGGTCAAGTTGCCCCAATTCGCGGCCAGACTTGCAAAACATAGCCCGGAGAACGACCGCTCCGGTTGTTTTTCAATAGAAAAACACAATTCTAACGAATAGTGTTTGTCTACTTCAAACAACCTGCGGTTATTGAGATGTAGGAGTGACCCCGTGCGTGCGAAATGATCCTCAGCTGGCTAAGTGCGGCGTGCACCCTTCGAAAGAGTCCTTAACGGCCCACCAACTTCGAGCGCTATCGGCCCAGCCGTACCTACCTATTTGAGATGTAGGAGCGGCGCCCTACACGTACTCTCGTGCCACCCCAATCGTGACAGATGGAAAACATTGCCCCGTGGGTTCCTATTGCCCATTGCCCAGTGCCCACACATGGACCAAGTTCTGTTTATCAACACATCACACCCATTGATAATGTGCTTAAACAAACAAACAAACAAACGAATGGCGTAGGTTTTCTTGCCCTTAATTTTGTTATGGTAAACATTTTGAACATTTGGACCAAATACAAACAAGCAAACAAACAAACAAACAAACAAACAAACAAACAAACAAACAAACAAAAATATTAAATTACCAGTTCTCGGTGAGAGCCATTCCCAAATAATTTGAAAGTTATTTGCATGGCAGCGGGACGGGACAATGATTGACTGCACACAATTAATTTAATTAAATGCCGTTTTGCTGGCAACTCTTCAGAAATATCAATCTTTTCCGCTTCCGCACAAACAATTTTTTAAATCAGCCCCACTGCATTTTTATCCGCAAATTTAACATATAGAATCAGGGCTGCGGAGTCGATGGATTTTCGGCGACTCCGACTCCGACTCCGACTCCGGCTTTCAAAAACCAGCTCCGGCTCCGACTCCGACTCCGGGCAGAATTGTCGACTCCGACCGACTCCAACTCCCGACTCCGACTCCGCAGACCTAGCAGGGCTGCGGAGTCGACAGATTTTCGGTGACTCCGACTCCGACTCCGGCTCGGGTTTCTAAAATCGACTCCGACTCCGACTCCGACTCCGGTCACAACTGTCGACTCTGACCGACTCCGACTCCGACTCCGACTCCGACTCCGCAGCTCTGTATAGAATAACATTTTGAATCTGTATTTGATGGCGTAAAAATTAAGCCCTACGCTGATGTGTATGTTTTTTTTGGGTTTGAAGCTGCACTTGATGTAATTTATTTTATTGTAATTTATTGCACTTGCCGTGAATAAATTACGTGAACACCGATTCGAATGTCTGGCCGAACGTCTGTATAAGCTGTCCAGTGTCCAATGTGTGTATTAGTTTTTACTGTGCGTAGCATACACGTCATGCCCTCTGGTATGACGAGATATTAATCTGTCCACAACGCCTTGAGTCTTAAGATCGCTCTTTTCGCTGAAAAGTGAGGATGGAGATCAGAGGAATTCTCACTCGTTTTCTAAATTTTCGGTCCCCCTACTTAGTCATGTGGAAGCTTTGCGTGACCGCCTTCTCGGAGCGGCTGTGGGCCCGCGGCGGCGCGCCGGTTTGCACCTCTGCGGGTCAGCTGACTGCCGGCTGGCCGGCCGGCCGGGCGACTGCGTCTCAGTGGTGAAGAGCTGAGGCGGTGGACACCTCGCGCGTCGACCGCGTCACGTGATCGTCTCCCTTCTGTGCACGGGTCACGTGGTTGTCCGCCGCCCGTGGACCAATCGAGTGCCATCGGAACGTGTCGCGGCCACGTGGTCCCGTGTCGTGTTCCGTGCGCGGTCGCGGCAGCCCGAGTCGCCGATCTGACCGATCGGTCGTGCCCGTGTGCGCGCCGAGGCCGCCCGAGCTGACCTGTCCGGCGGCCCGTCCGTCGGCGCTGACTGAGGCTGCAGGCTGTGGGTGGCGGCGCCGGCAGCGTTGCGGCCCCGATCGACCCCTCGGCGGCCGGCGCCGGCTGGCTCGTCCGCTCGGGACGGCGGCCCCTCGGCGCCGGCGGCCGGCATGTGTCCGCGGCGTCAGTCGGCGGCCGAGATGGCTGCCACCGGCCGCTACCTGTCCGAGGCCTCCTCCGACCACCTGCTCTCCTTCTGGGATTGCGGCTCGCCCGGTGAGCGTCCCCTCGTCTCTGACGACTCTTTCTTCCCCCTCAGAGGGCCGGGAGCCGGCCACTGACCTGTCACAGGGATTGACCGGTCCTGCGGCCCCCGACTCCCTGCCTGACTGCCGCGATGTCGGGGATCGCTACTTGTTTGGGTCCTTGCGTATGCTTTGACTTGCGCTTGTCTTCTTCAGTAATCACAGTTTTTATCGACAACTGTTGCTGGCATCCAGTGAACCTATAATTCGTGGCGTTTTTGGCTGTTGTATGGTCTGGTTCAGGGTGTTTACTATTTATGGCTACCACATTGTCAGGATTTTCAGTAATCCCGGGCTTCTCTAATATCACCGGCCAACAGACTGGAACGTTCCCGGGCAGTGCCGTGCTCAACATTATAACGGGACTGGTTGCTGGCAGTCTCTGCGGTTATTGAACGAAGCTGCGGCCGTTTTTTGCGAAGTTCTATGACGCAGTCATGCACCAAGGCAGGGCTGCGGAGTCGATGGATTTACGGCGACTCCGACTCCGACTCCTACTCCGGCTTTCAAAAACCAACTCCGACTCCGACTCCGACTCCGGGCAGAAATGTCGACTCCGATCGACTCCAACTCCCGACTCCGACTCCGCACACCTGGCAGGGCTGCGGAGTCGACAAATTTTCGGTGACTCCGACTCCGACTCCGGCTGAGGTTTCCAATATCGACTCCGACTCCGACTCCGACTCCGGTCACAACTGTCGACTCCGACCGACTCCGACTCCGACTCCGACTCCGACTCCGCAGCCCTGCACCAAGGTGCCTCGTCCGGTTTTACCAGCTGCATGTTATCCTGGTTACTGTTATTACACACAGAGTGGTGTTGTCATGTCCAAGAGCGGGGTTGTCTGTGATATGCTCATTATACGAGTATAGGTGACCTTAGACCTTTGTTGTACTGCGACCGTTTTTACCTTAACCTAAAGTTACTTATTTATTTCAGCTTAAGTTCGTTCCATTAGAAACAGTTTTGGCACAAATGTCCTTGACTTTTGGCCCGGCTGTCGCGGACAGATACACACCATGGCCTTCGTTCTGTTCGGCGTTCAAGATGTCTGTGCTAATCGCAGATATGACATGTCCCAGGTGTCCGTCTGGACAACATCTTTTAGAAGAGATGCGAAATCCCTGGGCCTGGTGTGTGCCATAACCAACTCGGCGGCTCCGTTCACTGTCGATGCTGATTGATTATGAATTAGTTCTTACAGGGTGTTCCAGCTACATACATTACTGAAATATTTTGATCCCTACATACTGAACTATTTTGCATCGATTGTCAGAAGGAAAGTAGGATATAATTTGAAGTTGAGAGGCATCAATAAAGGAGGAAAATTGAGTTTAGCAACTGAAAGTTGCATCCAAGGATGGCCGTCATAGACAGCAGGGCACTTCGGAAGCCGAAGCACCGCAATCGCTCGGCGTACAGCTCCGGGCCCTCCATTCCAACCCGTCCACTGTTGCGGAGGTCCGGAGCCGGTTCCCGTCTGTCAGCTTCATGGAGCTCAGTCGTGAATAGTGAATACCCACGATCTCCGTCCGGCCAAGCTGTCCTGAGCCGCGGTTCACGACTTGCGTTACGGTTATCAGAGGTCCAAAACAAAATTTACGCGGGGAAAACAGTCGATGCATTCATCATCACATGTCCGTCAAGACAGTACATACTACATATTCAGTCCACATTTAGCTTGGATTGTTGACACCTTGAATCGACTTGAAAGTCGTACACCATAGGGATACAGGATATGTGGTCCGAAACCATTCGGTTCCAGCAGTTTGACTCGAGGTGAACAAATTGTCACAGTCCCCAAATTTAGACATTAGACTGATCCACCCCGGTAGGTAGAGCCAGAACACTGCAAATAGTGCCAAACGTCTCACCATGACGAGGAGGCAGGAGCTTCTTTCTTTCATCAATTTAAAGGTAGTGTGCCACCTTTGAAAGATTTCCCATTTTATTTTTCCTAGGATAAGAAGCTTCTGTTTTTACCTAATATCGCAAAA